TTTGTCAGCTAAGTACACAATCGTTTTAGTGTCAGAAGGGCCTACACAGTAATGGTTAGACGCATTGCGGGAATGAGTATCTCAGGAAGTCTGCCCAGAATGGCAGACTACGCATTAAATGCAGGCTTTTCTGCTGGCACATAAATAAACATTTTTTACATTTTGGGCGAGTTGTTGAATACCACAGATAACAAGACGGCCATGTAGGATTTCTTCAGAGACTGATTCAAATGCAGTATAGAGGAATCTCTTTTCCCTATAGTATTTAGCATCTGTATGAGCCTGTGCTTAGCCAGCTGGCATCCAGTGGCATTTTCTCTGTGTTAAAGCGGAGCTCCAGGCACAAATACTTTAAATTAGAGATATTCACATACCAGGTACTTTCCCAGCTCCAAAACTAGACTAAGAGGAAAAACTCAAAACTCAAAAGTTGGGAGGCATCTGTCATTTTAAGGACCATTGGCTATGGGGCTCCTGGGATCTGTGCATTCCTATTTTAATTTATGAATTGTTTTATTAATGGGAAAAAAAAGTGTATATATAATGCACCAATGCCCTTTTTTCCAGACCAAGTACAAGTACTGATACTTGTCCAAGTACTCAGATACCAAGTACTGATACATTTTTGTTTAGTGTCATGTGACAGCTTTTCCGAAACAATACAGACTAATGATTTCAGGACAGTGGTGGAGCGCCAGGGCCCAGTCACAGCTGCAACCACTGAAACCTCTTGTAGTTCTCGTGAAAATGCCTAATATCTGCACTGATACAGACACTGGTATCTGAACATCCGTAATTTAAATCTACTCTACTGGATTACTGCACAGATCTGCAAGAAATGCACAAAGCACACCAAGATTTAAGTAAGAATTAGGGCTGTACAATTCCTATTACCCGATGCCTGAGACATGCCATTCCAGGCGCTGAGCAGATGGGCGTTTTTTTTCTACATTTAGCCCTGCTGCGGGCAAATGTAGAGCAGAGGACCTGCCGCTTGTTTTATAAATGTGATCTGGGCGGCTGTACAGCCACCCAGATAACTCATAGCAGCCTGCTTGTCAACCCCTCCTGCCGTGGTTTTCGGGGTTTCCCGCTCTTCTGGGAGACCATGGACTACGGCAAATTACTTCGGGATGGAGAGCAGGGAGCAGACTGGGCCCCCACTTTAGTCCTTGGACAAGTAGTTTTTTTTGTTTTTTTATATTTCCATACTCCTGAAGAATACACATGCCTTTGCTCCTACTGAAGTTCAGCTTTAACCCCATAAGGACTCTTCGCTGCCAAGGCCTTTTTTTCATTTTTTACACAGATGATCTAATCCACATTTTAGGCCTGAAAACTACTTCAAACCCCCAACACATTATATATTTTCTGAATGCCAACACCCTGTTGAATAAAATGGTGGCATTTGCAGATTTTTATGTTGCACGATATTGGTGTAACTATCAAACACAAACATTTTGTGAAAGGTTTACTTGTTAATTTTAGTGCCCCCAAACACAAAATTCCCATTTTTTTTTTTGTAAAATATAAAAGATAAGGTACCGATCATCAGTTTAGAGATATGTGTAAATATTGGCCTGAGAATTATTGCTCTCATTCTGGTGTGCACGACGATACCCAACATGTGTAGCGCGATCGATTTTTCATACATAGACGCACCCAACACGTGAATGCGGGGGCAGGGGGACATTAAACATTTTTTTAAAATTATTTTTACATTATTTTATCCAAAAATCCTATCCATTTTTTTTTCACTTATGCTTTAAAGGTGGGTGTTCTCTGTAGCAACTAAATAAATTAATTGTCCAAATGCTACTCTTTGGCATCCTCTGTAATGCTGGGTCATGGGTCATGCATGTATTGTCTTGGCCAATTGCCAAATGCTGTGGCCTATCGCACACTTTGCCGTTATTGGCATGGTGCTGTGACCTGAATGCCGTCTTCAGCGCTGGGACCAAGGTTACCTATTGTTTTCTATGGACAGTGGTCAATCCATAGGCAGAATTCCCAAAATACTACTTGGGGTGGTTTTCTGCACCCAGAGCAGTTTGAACAAACTGTTCGACTGTCCGGTCTTCTGTCTGCTGTCTTATGCCTGTTGGCAGCTATAAAATACTGCTTTGACTAGTGCTTATGAATTATTTCATTGTTTCAAGCTCCTTTTATATTTTTTACGGTTTTAATGTGTATTTCATAGAAATACTGCAAGTTATGACTTTTTTTGTTTTCTTAGTTTGTTTGACTAGTTGTGCTGAACAGATGTTGGTGGCAGTTTGTGTGGCTGTGTAAATAAAGGCTTGGTTGCTTTACTTTTGTATATCCAAACATTAAACTAGAGGTCTCATTAACTTCCAGAATGGTGAAACCTGAACCTTCTCACGTCAAACAGCAAACTTTCATGGCATAATTGTTCTCCCTTTGTCACAGCAGTCATGGCTACTTTTAACCTGGCTGTCAGGTCTTGTATTTTAGCCTCTCTCTCTCTTTTACAAGGAAATGTTTGAAGTTTCATCAGCTTCTCATGTTTAAGCAGTATCCGGATTTGTTTGTTAGACTAGTGTTCTTCTAAAATCAGTCATTAAAAGGAAAAAGTATGCGAATATGGGAAAGAATAAGTACAGGAGACTGATTTTAGCTTATACATGGTGAAAACATTGTTAAATAAACAGTATCCTTTTAGGCTGGGTTCACACCTGGGCGTTTTTTCAGCGCTGACAAACACTCAAACAGTGAAATCCTATTAACTCCTTTTTTGAAACCATGTCCTGCAGCCAAGAACTGTAGTATTAAAAGAAAATTTGGATTTAATTGTTTAGCTACTGTCAAGTACACGTCTTGAAACTGCTTTTCCTTTTCACTACGCATGAAATGCAACGTTCATTACACTTTTCTGTATGGAAGAATTTAGCACCAGTAAGAAGCCCTTCACTTCCTGCTACAGCTGACAAACCCTCTGAGGTTATGCTGAACATGCCTTATGTCTTAAATGGGATATATAATCTGCCTAGATAATAGATTCATGTAAATGTGAAACTTGCTACTTTGTGCCCTTGATAACTTATGACTGTGTGCTTATTTGCAGTTTTGTTTTGAAACCTTTTATCTACATCTATTGTCTTATTTAAAGCCAACACTGATTAAAAAAAATATTTCAGGTATGGATTAAAAAAAATTAATTTATTTTTTAAATTTTACTTGGTATCAACTTCTAATAATCTCCTGTTTAACAACACTTAGACTGGGAGTGGATGAAGCAGGACTGGGAGTTAGTTGGACATGCTGCATGTACATGTGCACTAACAAAAAACATGCTGGCAAGCAGAGAGTGCAGAATCGGCAGAAATGTGTACTGGTGCTGCTCTTTTACTGACCAGGCTGGAGGCAGGGTAGTGACCAAATTTGTTCACTTAACTGTGGCAGAGGAAAGTCAGGTCACCAGCCTGGCCATATAGGCGGTGTAAATCTAAAACCTGGATAGATTGAAAAAAATCCTCTGGCAGGTAAGCCGCTCCTATATATTCATTTTAACAGCATATTTAGCAATTTGCCTGGAGTTTAGCTTTAGCTGGGGGTTACTAGTGTTTCGGTACTGCCAGGAAGGTTAATTTGCCTACAAAAGCTGGCACAGTGATGCATACTTCTGTATAAGTTTTTAAAACCTCACTCCGGGCTTCAGTTAAAGAAGAATTGCAGGAACACTTTCGAGTGGGTGCTCGTTTTTGTTTAGGTTCAAAAATAACGTTATGCTTGTTGGAAAATGCAACACCATGTACTGATTTTATTACTGACTGTAAATTGTCTTTTGAGCTGTAGATGGTGTTGTAGTTCAAGGTTAGTCTCTATGTGCATGCTTATCTATGATACACAGGAAGTTTTCTGCACAATGATGTATACGCATATGTAATGTTCTTCTAAGCAAGTAAAACTTCAGCATTCCTCAAGATCTCAGTGCTTCATCTAAACACATAACCAACAATATTCCCCTGAAGCTCTGTGCCAGCCAGCTAGGGCTGCAACAACTAATCGACATAATCGATTATAATCGATTATTGAAAAAGTTGTCAACTTTTTCAACAATCGATGGTTAGTCTCTATGTGCATGCTTATCTATGATACACAGGAAGTTTTCTGCACAATGATGTATACGCATATGTAATGTTCTTCTAAGCAAGTAAAACTTCATCTAAACACATAACCAACAATATTCACCTGAAGCTCTGTGCCAGCCAGCTGTCGAGGCGCTCCCTCCAGTCTCCTCCGCTGCAGCAATGGAATCTTCCTCTATGTCCTCACACACTGTACACTGTGTATAGACGTGATGATTTACAGGACCTTAGACTGCTGCAGAGGAGGGGGAGAGAGGCTTGATAGGCTAGTCTAAAGGTGCCCATACACTGCACGATCGTACGAGATCCTGCGATCGTACGAGAATCTACCTAGACAAAAATAAGCAGTTAACCCTAGCAGTGTGGGGGTAGCCCCACTGCAAGGGTTAATAAAAATGTGTTCCATGCTCATTTGACTTGAGGGGTGGAACCAATTGAAATATTTACCTTAGTCCTTGCTAATACTACCTTGCTAATTTCCTTCTTTTGATGCTACCAGTCCCCTGAAGACTTCACTTCACTCCGATCTCTGGCCAGCCGTAGCTCCCAGACATCATCACGTACAATGCAAGACCAGCATTCATCCCTAGGCAATCAAGCATTTTAACCCATGCAGGGGTGGTGGGTGTGTAAATTTAACAACCCACTGTGGGGCTTTAAACCTTCTACATTACATACCTCTAATGTCAATATACAGTATTTCCATGATTTGTAACACTGCATTACTGTAGGTAACATGACAAACATCAAATTTAGTAATCCATTGCTCAGATTATTCTGTTAAATTAATTGGAAAATGTTTTTAAGCTCTGTATTTGAATATAGTAATACAGTAGCAATGTATCATTTTCAGTGCAATTGTTGACTCACTGCCTTGATTCCTCTTTACAGAAACGTGCTAAAGGCCAGGTGCTGTTTTCCAAGGTCTGTGAAAGTCTCAACTTATTGGAAACGGATTATTTTGGATTGACCTATCGGGATAATGCCGATCATAAGGTACTTTTTAACTCACAAGTTTATCTATAAAATGCTTTTAACTAAACATTCTAGGTGTGCACTCATCATTTGTTTAGGGAGGTAGCGAGGTTGCTAGATTGTATTACATTTGACACCATTTCATTGGACTTGAAAGAAGTGTCCTAAAAACGGTCTATGAAAGGTAAACTAATGCCACGAGGTTAACATGGTCCAGACAGTGTGTGAGCTGTCATGTCCCAGGCTGACCTTTTTCTTTATTGGCTTCTGCCAGATTACTGGCAGACTTGAGTGCTTTTGTTAGCAGTGCTTAATATGCTGCAAGTTAATGCCATTCAATATTGCTTGCTAGGGTAAAGTGCTTGTTTATATCCATGGTCTAGAAAAATGCTCAGCTTTATTTAGTATTGCTTGTTAAACTCTACATTGACACTTAGCGAATGAATGCTACAGTTTAAGAAGCTTGCAACCTGCAGCATGTTACATAGTGGGGGTGGTGTCACATGAACAAGTGTTCTCAACTAACTTCAACCTTCCTCGAACAAACCTACAATTAACAGCCGAGTACCTTACTTACCTTATCAGTGATCGACACCCAAGCTCATGGCAGTACTAGGGGACCAGATTTCTAGCATTGTCACAGTTTTACACTCGGGAGAAGCAGAAAGCCAAGGTGAAACTGATGACTGAGGCCCTTTGACTCATTGCTACAGAAGTTGCTTCAATCTACATTTCAAGCAGATAAGAGAAGCTCCAAAAAGAAATCTGAGACCTAGGGAACAGGACAGCAACTTATGAAGATAAGATGGAGGAAGTAATAGCACCTTGGCTGCACACAATGAAGACATTGACTGTCTGAAAGAAGAAAATAAAGTATTACATACCAAGTATTGCTCCTGACGCTCCAACCTACACCCGTAGGGTGCTCCCTGAACATATTTACAGTACAATCCACAGGCACTACATTCTTTCAGGAGTTAGCCCCTGACCCCCCCTATGAAGCGGCTGGAAATCAAGCGTGTACATAGAGTGCTTACTAGAAAATTACCAACTGGTCCCCATAGGGACGTCATAGTAAAGTTGCTTTATTACCACTTTTGCGAAGGAGCATCACAAAGTTCTTGGTGACCCTCTGACGTGCGAGCCCCTTCTTTTACAGTTCCCTGTAGGGGCATCTCTTTTCATGTTGCTCGGAATTTGTCAATGAGAGCTGGAGTATGGTGATAAAACCCTCAACTAATTTGCTTTGTCATGTAAAACTCTCTGGATAATGTTAAGACAGTCGCCCAACAAATTCATCCACCAGCGCCAAGGGGACCACGCTTATATGCACCGAAAATGACTTCATTCGGGGTGGCTGCATCTCATCAATTTGGGGGACTTCACTGACCAGTTATTCTGAAAACAAAAGCCAGAGAGCACCTTCCCTTGTGTAGTGACACTTTATTAATGTAAAAAAACAGAAGTAAAAGCATACAAATATTGTGAATGTCAGGCCTTTTTACATAAATCCATCCATGTTAGCCTAGGGCTAAGTGTATTTAGTGAACGCCACTTCTGTCAGCTGAAGATTGCTACACATTCTTTCAGCCTGTCACCATGTGGATTACAGCTACAACTGCTGGCTACTGAAGTGGATTTATGTAAAAGGCTCAAAAAATTCACAATATTTGTGTGCATGTTTTTACTTCTGTTTTTTTTTAACATTAATAAAGTGTCACTACACAAGGCAAGGCGCTCTCTGGCACAGTTTTCAGAATAACTGTTAAGGCAGTATGCAATTACATCCCTGCAAAAATTAAATATGGTTTACAGAATCCTTCTTTTATCCTTACAATCAGGGCTTGAAAAATCCACTCGTCTGCTTGTCTGTGACGAGAGGACAGTAGAGCCTGGCGAACAGCTTCCATGCCGGCCGTTGTAATTACACGGCCGGCCGGGAGCTTTACATTCAATCGATCGAGCGTCTCTAAGAGACGCTCGATTGCTTGTATTAGTAGCTGTCACTGCCGGTCCCGAGATCCGCTGTGCCTGATGCGGCCGGACCGGCATGGCTCTGTGACAGGAGATCAAAGGGAGTTCAGTATACGAACTCCCTTTGATCTCCTCTCAGTCCCCGAATGCAGGAAGTGATGTATATTACATCACTTCCTGCATTCAGTGTCACTCTCCAGCTACAGAAGCTGATGAAGAAGATCTCTGCTTCATCAGCTTCTCTGGGGGTCCCTAGGTGACCACTAGGGGTCTTGGAGACCCCTGATGTCTTCATAAAGAGGACCTGTCATGTAAATTGGTTATCACATAGGGGGCATCTTAGCCCCCCATGTATTAGCAATACAGTTGTTTGTAAAAAAAAGTAATATAAAAATGAAAATCATAAAAAAAATTTAAAAAATGTAAGTCCCCGCCCCCCACATACACACGCATATGCGTCGCGTGCGCCTACGCCAAAAAATGACGATTGCGCCTATTGTGCCGCACATGTTGCATATCGCCGCAAACGTCGGAGAGCAATAATGTTAGAGCCATTAATTACTGATAATACTAAAGTGATGAGAAGTAAAAGCGTTTTAATCGTTGCCTATGGGCGTTTTTCGCGCATACATAATTTGCAAGGCTATAATCCGGTCATGCTGACTGGTGACATTTTTGACTGACTGGTGAGACACCATCAAATTTTTCAAGCCCTGTTTACAATGCTAGTGATATAAGCACTTTACATTGAGGCGTTAGGCTCATTTGTCAGGCTGCATCAGTGGGCAAAAAATTATCAAAACCTAAAGGTGAATCTTTACGTTTTGGAACAAATATTGTCTTGGGAAAGTAATTTTTAATGGCTTTCTCTTTTTTTGGACAAGTTTTACCCAGTTCTGTTACTAAAAGGCTTTCTTTACTACCATAACATTTTTAGATTTGTCGGGATGGGCCAAGGCTGGACAAATCCAAGGTTTTTCTATTATCAGTGCATGATTGTGTTCTTTTGGCTCCAGTGCCCCCTTTAAGTTTAGAAATCAGAAATAAATTTGTTGTTGTTGTTGTTTTTTTTTAATATAAAGCCATTCTTTCACTTCTTTACCCAGCTTTGCGTGCAATTTTGATCAGTAGAATGAGATTGGCTCCTCGATGCCAGCCATCTCCGATTAAACACACTGGGGAAAGATGTGGCTTGCTAAAAACACAATTTGGCCTCACAAACTAGTAAACAAAAATCTAAAGTTTTGCATTTTAAAATAGCACATTAAATATTTCACAAACGTTTACATGAAATTGCCACTTTTTTAGTCTTCACTAGGTTGAGTTCACCCCCTGTTTTCCATGTTGTAAACGAGGCTTTTAGTATCAAAAAGTTGCTAATGTAATGCTATAGAATTCCCTTTCATTTAATTGTGTTTGAACAAGTTTTTTTAAGCATGGTGTGTAGTATTTGGGGTGTTTAAAAGCTTTTAAAGGTGGTTCTTAATTTAGTATTTAGAAGGGGTTTCTATAGGCTTCAGTGCTTTCAGTAGAACAATTGATTATGCTGGAAAAAAGCTGTCTGGGGGTCATTTTTAGATTGGCTGTGACACCGCAGTGTGAAATTCCCAACTGGAGCAGTCGACCACAGCAGTTGATTTACACTCAATATTAATAGCAATAACTAATGATTAATGTCTTTTTAGGACATACTGAGGAGAATACCCAGCATTAACAAAATAGTGGTTATCCTTAATGGGTGATGAGAAATGTATTCAGGAGTTTTATTCATTGCCAAGTAGTCACATTTGTCAGTGAATGGCCAACATCAGAGGAAATGGTGCCTAATGCCAACTGTATTATCCTGAATTCTGCATTTATTTGTCCAAAGCTAAGATGAATGATATCATCAGAGCATTTCTAAGTTTTAAAAAATAGTTTTGTTTATATATAGAGGGAAAACCCCTCCTGTCAGGAATTAAAGATGTTTTCTTTAATTTAGGAATGCACCGATTCTCGCCCAAATGACCCAATGCTTACCCCTGATGCTGGAACTTCCAGTCAGTAAGTAACTTCCAGTATGGACTCGCTGCCCGGTTCCTGATTGGGCGGGAAGCCAGCTCCATACTGTTTGGCCGGCTTGATGCTGATTGGCTAGGAAGCCGGCTCAATGCTAGCGGAAGTACCGGTATCGGTACTCAGTATCGGTGCTGAGGGTAAAGGTAAATATCGGCACTCTTACTCGATACAGAAAAACTGGTATCGGTGCAGCCCTACTTTTAATTGTATCTGGGTGAATGGTTAGACGCAGAAACGCTGATTTTTAGGTTAATGTTGGGCAGCTGGTTCTTGTTGTGGATTTTTCTAACTGACAAAGACCTTAAAAATAATACAGTTTGCGCTCATATTACCAGTGTGGAAGCCAGTGTGTTGTGCCCTCTCCTCCTATCATACTCGTAGTATTGTCTGGTCTGAGATCCTTTTATTCATCTCGGATAAGGTTGCAGCTATCAAATCACTGTCAGTAAAGCCCCTCATCTTAATTCGTCCTCTACATCTTCACTGATTTGGTACACAAACTGTGACGTTTTATTTTCTAAAATTACACATATAAAATAGGAATGTATTACACCATAAATCAAATTATTACTAACATGCAAAAGATGGAGGTGATTTGCGTAATGTTTTTAGCCCAGGTTAATGTCTGATGGCTGCTTGGTGTGAACAGTTAACTGATGACTGCACTAGTGCTGCATCATGTGATGCAGTATGCACAGTTGACAAACCCGTCAATCATGTGAAGCCCATTGCACAGTAGTTTAGTCTGATTGTTTTGCAGACTGGGCAAAAGACAAGTATTGTCACTGTGTCTGGTCACCATAGACCTTTACTGAAAATATTGTTCTGAAGCATAGACCTAATATGTTTACATAAGTGGAGACAGAATATTGTTTAAATGCATGCGTTGAATTTCAAAACATTTTTTAAAAGAACAGGCCAACAAAATAGATGTATGTTAGAGAATATGGTAAGTAGCACAATTTTACAAACTTTTTATGTTTTAGCTT